TGAAGATTTCGATTATGACGATGAATGATTTTTTGGTGTCAACTTTTCTAAGAATTTTGTTTTTCATTTCGCAGAAAGTCCTCGATAACTCAAGCTCAAGCTGGCTCAAGCTGGCTCAAGCTGGCTCAAGCTGGCTCAAGCTGGCTCAAGCTGGCTCAAGCTGGCTCAAGCTGGCTCAAGCTGGCTCAAGCTGGCTCAAGCTGGCTCAAGCTGGCTCAAGCTGGCTCAAGCTGGCTCAAGCTGGCTCAAGCTGGCTCAAGCTGGCTCAAGTTATACTAGTTTTCAAGAGGAGTTTATCTTTTCACAAAATTATCAGCAAAACAGTTAACGACTACACGACTGTACGCCCAAAATACGGCAATCGCGAATGTGTTAAATAAGTTAAATACCCTCGACTAACTAGTCAGGGTTGGTACGTTTGGATGAAATATGAAATGTGAAAGTCAAATGCTCCACAACGACCACCCTTGTATGTTCGGAAGGATAAAATGGCGTTGTCTTTCAACAAAATTCAACAACAAGCTCGATCTATTATTGTTCTACAAAATAGCTTTTGAAAACTCTTTAAGATTCTATTGGATCTATGGATCTATGGACTTTATTAGCTCCTAAATAAAACTAATCAAAATGAAAAGGAATTCGATTCGTCGTTTGACTCGTTTCTTACAAAGAAACTTGATACCCAAAAGCAAAAAAGATTTCGAGCACATTTGCATTACATTACATTACATTAATAGTCAAATTTTTGTAATAATCTCGTCAGTCATCTTTCTCTAAATGACGATTTATAGATTCTCTGAAAAATAAAATGATTTTTTATTGAATTGAAGTGCTTTTTGAGTTCTATTTCAAATATGATTTTGTAGAGAAATAAGTGCTCTTTCTAATGATACTACTATTTCTAATGATATCTTTCTAATGATACTTCTAATGATATTTGATAAAAACTACTCGATATTATTGTATTGGGTTGGTGAATTGAAAACTGCGGGACTTTGAACTAAAATTTATTCAACATAAAACCATGAATTCATTCCAAATAATTTCCATTATTATTGACGACTTCTGCCCATTTTATAGGCAATTTGGGGATTCCTCTTTCTTCGTAGGATTTTGGTTTGTGTGTGAGACAAGTGTGAGACTCAAAAATCGAGGACTGGAGATGTCCCAGTTTGAGCACTTTCTTCAAAAGAAACCCATTTTGGTGTCAATGGAAAAGTTGTAGAGAATCAAAAATCAAGCTTATATCCCAATTTCCAAAAGATACACTTAGTATTTTCGCTTAAAATGCAAGTTTTGTGAAAATTTGTATATTTGGCATTTCTTGAAAACCAGTTTCTGAATCGTTCTGAAAATTTGGATATAAGCTTGATTTTTGATTCTCTACAACTTTTCCATTGACACCAAAATGGGTTTCTTTTGAAGAAAGTGCTCAAACTGTCACATATGACAATAGCCCGCAGTTTTCAATTCATCATCCCAATAGTTTCTTTGAAATCGGACTACTTATTCCTCAATCCAATACATTATTTGTATCAGTGATGGAGACAAATCAGTGGGATTTTTGTGGCCTCTTCTGTCTATCATCTTGTTTCCAATAACTCCTGTTTATTGTGCATAAAGTTTTAATAAAAAGCGGTTAATTTGATGTTTTGCTGAATAAAGTTGGTACTATTGAATACTATTGAATAAAGTTGGAGAATGTTCTGGTAAACATTCAGTATGCTTCTGCAAGTAGTGTTGTCTGGGAACAGTAAACAAACGAAAAGCCATTCTTTCTCTCTCATTTAGTTTTTGTTTCTAAAACTATCGAAAGTGATTTGGCGATAAAAACGGGAGATAAATCACTGCCCATTTGCACTCAAATCATATCAAAGATCTGATGTACCTTTATGTAAATCACTGATTGCGAGATTTTCCACTTCGTCGAAGGGAAGATTTCGCTTCGGTTCAAAGAAAATCTAAACTATCAAAAAGTGTTTGAAAATATACATAGTATGGACTAGAATTTCGGAATTTGAAAAAAGCTAAAGACCAACAACGGAATACAATGGATACTCAGCCATGTCTCTACTTTAGTTAAAAGTGTTCATTCGATAGAACATCGAATGGGTTTCGAATCTGCAATCAATCTCCAATCGGCCCCCCACCACCTCAACTGGTCTCCAATCAATCTCCAATCAATCTCCAATCACCTAATCAATCTGCAATCAATCTCCAATCAATCTCCCAATCACCTCCAATCAATCTCCAATCACCCCAAATAATTTCCAATCAATCTCCAATCAATCTCCAATCAATCTCCAATCAATCTCCAATCAATCTCCTTAATCAATTCCAATCGCCTCCAATCAATCTCCAATCACTCCCCAATCAATCTCCAATCACTCCCAATCAATCTCCAATCAATCTGCATTCGGTTTCTCCAATCAATCTCCAATCAATCTCCAATCAATTTCCAATCAATCTCCAATCAATTTCCAATCAATCTGCAATCAATCTCCAATCTGCAACCTTTTAAGAGGTCCAAAAACTATTATTTGACATATTTTCTATCTAGAGACTCTAGGCTATCTTGAGCTAAAAAAACTTTCTCATCTCGTTTCTCGATTCGCAGATACAGAGTCCTAAAGAAAAGTTACTCAAAAGTCATTTGATTAGATACCTAAAATTCGATTAGATATTCTGAAAGTTGTGTAAAAAGTTGGATATATAATGTAAAAGTTTTGGGTTAATCGGCACATCCATTTTCCAGAAAATGCCTGGACAAGCACACACAAAGTCGCCTGCTTTGTCTCTTCTAAAAGAGAGAAGCCTGTTCTGTCTCTTCTAAAAGAGGAAGCCTGTTCTGTCTCCTTCTAAAAAGAGAGAAGCCTGTTCTGTCTCTTCTAAAAGAGAGAAGCCGTGTTCTGTCTCTTCTAAGAGAGAGAAGCCTGTTCTGTCTCTTCTAAAAGAGAGAAGCCTGTTCTGTCTCTTCTAAAAGAGAGAAAATCGCCTGTTTTCTCTTTCTCTCTTATAAACTTCTGATTGATCTTTTAGTGTTTATTTTTGACTCAAGAAAGCTTGAAATTAAGCTTATATTAGTGGTAAAGTTTGAATTTTGAACTGCTCAAAGCATCAGTTGACATCAAAATCTACAGATATTCAAACAGCTCTCAGTCTGATTTCTTTTCAAGTGTAGTTTCAAGATTTGAAACAAATCGCTTGGGCCCTTCATATCTTTTCGTGAGAATCAAGTGAAAACTTGTGTATTTTGTGAAGATAAGCCCATCATTGAGGTCGAACTTTCACCTCCAGAAATCCAAAAGAAAATCGCGTCAGAATTTCCCTTCTTTTTCGAGCCCGTTATCAGAAAGGATTCCGGGGAAATGAAAAAGTGAAAAATTGGATGAAAGTTTATCACGAAATTTCAAGATTTCCCTTCCTTTCACTGAGGCCCACGTTTTAAAGATTGGACTTCTGAATGAGCAAAAACGAAGGGAGAGAAATTTATTGCAATTTATTGCTACTTGCACATAGTAGAATCAGGTTGATCTATCGGGAAATCAAAAGCAGTCAATGTGATCAAAGGGAATTACCGTATTCTCTCTAATAGTAGTGCACTCTTTAATAGTAGTGCACTCTCTAATAGTATTGCGGTCCGAGAGGGGGTTAAAAAAATAGTAGTGCACCCTCGAAAATTTGAATTTCTGGTGTTTCTTTTCATCTAAACCTTTTTGAGTTTATGTTTATGTAAGATTCTAAAGCTATTCAAGCAAGCAAAAGTCAGGCTTTTTTTATTCATTTATTAACTATTCTTTACAGAAAAAAGTTAACAAAAAATCTAAAATTGTTGTGCAAAGGGCAAAAAACATCTTTTTTGTTGTTTGTCAAGACACAAATTGTCAACTCGCCGGCCCACAACTGTATGTCAAAAGGAGCTAAAGGAGTACGTGAAAGAATTGCAAGAATTTTGAAACAAATCTTATATCTGTCTTACTTTGGTAAATGATAAAACTCTTTAATAGTAGTGCACTCTAGTAGTATTGCGGTCCAGGAGGGGGTTCAAAAAATAGTAGTGCGCACTACTATTAGAGAGAATACGGTATTTCTAATTATTATTTCAAAAGTTTTCCCAGGCTAGATCAGTCAGTTTACCCAGCAAAAGCTACTGTAAATACTGTATTAGTACCCCCACCCCATAATGACGGTGCGGAGGGTTGCGTAGGCTAGCTTTGAACGTGTTTTTCTCGACACTGGTTTTATGCTACAATGCGCGCGTAGGTATCAAAAATAGCCCTGAATTTCAGCTATTTTGATACCAAAGACGTATTTTTTGAAAGTACGGGTGCTTTGCAAAAATGGAATAATGAAATACTTTTGAGACTACGCGACTGTACGAGGGAGTGGGGCACTATTACAGTATTTACGGTAGGTAAAATTGGGCTGAAATGGCGGTGGGTATGGTCTGTGGCCCAGACCCTAGGTTTAAGTTTGGATTTGTGAACCAATTGGTTCACAAATCCAACCTAAACCAGTATCCATGACTTCTTTTACACAGTTTACAGTTTAGTCCATTTGTCACTCTTTTTTCTTCTCTATAAGTTTCAAATTGCAATTTATTGAAATGTTTGTTTGGATATTGGCTTTCTGCAAGGTCTATTTGGGAAGTAGTCGAACACGAAAAACAAGAGATTCCAGTTTCTACTCAAATGGCTCAAACTCAAAGGCGTCTTCTCTGAGTACAATGTCGTTTATTTTGTTTTTTTGCTTTTGATTGCTTTTGATTTATTCGCTTTTCATAAATATTTTCTTTTTAGATGGGATAAGCTTTTATTTTATATACAGAAATGTTATTATGTGTGTCGATTTCTCTACATGATCATCATTCTTTGGCTCGACATGGCGACTCCGGTGTGCTTGGCGAGCACTGAAAGTCTGAGAGAAATGATTGTAAATGATTGTAAATATATAAAGATCGAGACTATATATTATTTAGGATAGAATACTGTATCTAAATGTATCTAAATGTATCTAAAATGAATTTCTATTGTCAAAAGGCCACTCACCAGTTCCATTTGAAGGTCCAACGGCCATGAAAATCGCATACATCTTCATCGTGTCCAATTGGAAGACCTGAAAAAAGGGGAAAAGATGGATTGAATGCTGTAGATTTGAATGCTATTTATATCTAGATAAATTTTCTATTTAATCACCTTGTCAGTGTTTGGCATTCCGTTAAATGGAGCTCCCTGGACGCGTTGAAGAGTCTTACAATAAACCTGTCCTTGGCTGTTCTCCAAAGCCGACATTTGAAGGGTGACAGCCTTGGCCAAGTCCTGAAAAAGGATAAAATTACATTTAGAGATTATATTTTACTTATAATATGAAAAATCTTATAATCAAATTATGAGAACAAAGTAGAAAACAAAAAGTAGTTCGAGTTGAGAACAAAAGTAGTTCGAGTTTAGACTTTCATGTGTCATTTTTTGAGCTTTTTCTGAGTCTTTTCTGATGCTACAAGATTTCCTATAGACAATTTAACAGATCAATTTCCATTAAAACCATTTCCAAAACTCACAGCAGCGTTATCGATTCGAACATTTCGTGGCTCATCATTGTTCCACGAGAGAGCTGGAGTCATCAATTTTGCGTTCAAAGCCGAGCACTCAGTCACTGGCGAGTTGGACTAAAGTTAATCGGTTTTCTTCTAGATTCTCGATGACCCTCATAGCTGAGTGGCTAAGCCCCTTGTTTCTTAGTCCGGAGATCGATGGTTCAATCCCGGCGGGATTATCAATCCTTTTTTCAGTCTTTTTCCTTATTTAAACTTAGAGATTGTATTGTTTGTACCACATTTTTCGTGTGAATCAATGTATTTTTAAGAATTAAGGTTATACTTTCACACTTACCATGCATGGGATACCGTTTGCCTCGTAGCTATCACATGGATTCGCTTGGAAGGCGACGGCCATCCACGAGTCATAAGTGGCGGTGGCTGGGAGATTCGTGGCGAACATCTCGATCTCCAAGAATGAGGCTGACTGGAAAAAAAAGACTCAATACTGATACTCGATTTACTTATGGACATTTGTTTCTTTAATTCGGATAGCTTAGATAAACTCTGCCATTTTATCGAACCAACCGTTCTCTTGAACGACATTCCTTGTTTGCAGGTGGATGGATTTGAGCTACAAGTTGGTGGTTGTAAAAGGCAAGTCTTTGACGAGCCACATGTCGAGAAATCGAACAAAGCGTACACCTAGGAATGGGTTTAATAAAGCTGAAGCTATCGGTACAGTTAACTCCCTTTATTACCATACTTTCTACTTATTTTCTATAAAGTAAAACGATTTAGAGGATGAGATATTTTGGTCAAGTTATCAGTACTCAAACTACAAGTACTCAAACTACAAGTACTCAAACTACAAGTACTCAAACTTGAAAGTTAAGCTAAAAACTAGCATTATTCTGCTAAAAACTAGCATTATTCTTAGCTTAAAACAAATCCATTTTTATACCTGAGACAAGAGGAGGGCGAAAACGAGGGATCTCATCATTGCAAGTCTTCAATAGAGACGATTCAGTGGGGGAAATCCAAACAAAATGATCTGTGCCTTATCTCCAGAAGTCTTTTAATATCCCCTCACTTTCTCCACCTCTTCTTTCATTTCTTTCCCCCCCCCCCCCTTCTGTCCACTTCTCATCATTTCTTGATAAAGGTTTTTTTTTTCAGAAAGTGAAAGTTCAATTGTTAGACTTTGCGTGAGAATGGTGAAAGGTTTAAAAAAAGAAAATTTCGATTTTAGATATTGATTCTAGGAGAAACAGTGAGAAATTGTCTTATTAGCTAGTCTGTCTATAAAATAAAATAAAATCTATTACCTGTCCATAGTCTATAAAAATTCAAAAACTGATTTAATTTGATCTTCAAACTAAAACTTGATCTGGATTAAAAGAAGTTGAATGAGCAAAAGGTTGATTCACTGTACTCAACACTGTGATATAATTGGGTACAATTACGATACAGTACAACGTACAGTTAGTTACTGTATGTTGCTATAGTTAGTTACTATAAACTTTAGCACTTTATCCTATCAAAAGGTAATTTGCAATACGCTGAACTTGAAAAAGTTCAAAAATTACATAAATCTATGTATTTGTTCGGGATAGAATGTTTCTCTATCCCTTAGTTCAGGCAGAATGTTTATTAAAGCACCGAAGGGTTTAAATACCGAAAAGTTGAGGGGGAAATGTTTTAGAAATGTCTATGTTTTGGCTAGCTTATGGCTGGGGAAATCGTGGGAAGAAAAAAGCATGATTCAGAGGGAACATTGATCGATAGATTTCAAAGAGAAATAAACTTTATCGGAAGAAGTTCCGAACAGTATTCTTTGATTTGTTTGATTAGTTTTACTTGTAAATTTTGTGTTTTTTGTTTTTGATAAAATACATTTATTTAAGTCATCATAATAAATGAAATAAGTGAATTAATCAATTAAATAAGTGAATTAAAGCTTTAGAATTGGTATCGCATCTTGGAAACCATTGTGTTCGGGTGGGGGTGATGAGTGAGAACTGAAACGGAGACTTTTAATCAATTAAATAAGTCTAAAATCGAGCAATATCGAAAAACGAATGTAAATTGATGAAAACTCTTTGAGTTTTAAATATAAACGCAAATCTTTAAGCTAAGTAACTGACCGGATCCATTGGTGACCCCGGCGGCCATGAGAATCGCGTATTTCTGTGTGGGATCGTATTGGAACACCTGAAAAGGTCAATTTGCAAGAGATTACAGTAGGATGTGGCCAAATGAGATCAGCCATTCGACGCAGAATTTCACGCTGATTTCGAATCTGCTTTCTGTTTTTGCAAAATAGATTTCTTGGGACAATTATACGGCTTTCAAGTTTTAGGGTGAAAATCCGAAAATTTGGATAAATGCCTTTATAAGAGATTTCTCACGGATGCCTTTATAAGGAATTTCTCACGGCGATCAAATTTAACTTGATAGTGTAGTGGATAAGGGGCTCGCATACAAAACGATCACCCACAGTTTTTGCTCAAGCTCGATCCCTTTTTGGCAAAACTTTGCGTTTTGATGTTTTAACACCGAAATTTTAAAACTATTTGAACTATGTTTACTATTTATACTTATATACGACCCAGTTCTTCACCAGATGAAAATCTAAAAGACTTAAAACTCTCAATTCTTCATTCTTTAATTGCAATGAAAGATCTTCAGCTTAGCTAAATGCCTTTCATTCAGGAACCAGTATTGGGGCTTTGCAATATCTTTTTACCCACCTGATTTGCATTGGGAAGTCCATTAAGCGGTGCTCCGGTGATTCGTTGTGTCAATTTGCAATACGTCTGTCCGTTTGCGTTCTCCAAAGCGCTCATGCTCAAAGCGACCGCTGTGGCGAGATCCTGGAAAGATAAAGCTTTCGTTTTATCATCAGAAACATGAAACTTGGCTAAGGGTCGAATTTTTATGTTCGAAATCAATCAATCAAGTTCACTAAGCCTCACCGCAGCATTGTCGATTCGGACATTCTGTGGGTCGGCGGTGTTCCACGAGACAGCTGGGGACATCAGTCTTCCATTCAAAGCAGAGCACTCCATCACTGGCGTTGAAGCCTAAATGGTGACATGGTTTTTGGTTTAGAATCATTTCATTCAATATACTAGCCATGCATTAGACTCATCGATAAGAACTTATTGATATATTGAGAGACAATTGAGAGACAGTGAGAGTCCGGGTTGGCAACTTTCCAACCGTAAATTCTAAAATACACCTAAGCTACCGTACTCGAGACGACATCTCCCTTTCCGTCTCCCATCGCTTCAAAATTCATTCGTTTAAAGAATCATGTCTTTATTTTTCTTTTCTTTTCTTTTCTTTAGAATTCTTTAAAGAATGCCGGGTCCTGCGTTTCGCCGTGTCTTTTGCGCGTGTATTTCCCCATTTCTCTATCCCTTTTATTTTGTTTGGTGACATGGTTTTTGGTTTAGAATCATTTCGTTCAAGCACTCCATCACTGGAGTGTTGGACTGAAATGATGAATCGGGACTTATAAAATCATTAAAGTTCTCAATTCATAGCTATAGAAGTTCCAGTATGGCTAAAACTAGTTCAATATGACTTGGGTCTATTAGTTTGACCGGAAAGTTTTGTCGGCTTTCAAATTTTCGTTTATAAATGAATTAGTTGATGAAAGTATGGTTTTTTTTAAATAAAAAAGATTCACTATTTCATTTAGCCGATTTTTTTAGGCAAATTCGAACAGGAATTCTTGTTTTCCCTCAAAAAAACCGTGTATGTTCCCATTTCTCTATTCCTTTTATTTTGCTTTGTTTTGTTTGTTGTTAATGTTGTTTTTTGTTGTTTTAATTTTGTTTATTGTTAAAATTTCCCTCCTCTTTTTGTTATTTCCATCCTTTCTTCCCTGTTTCTTTTAAAATTGTTAAACTTTTAGAGTTTCTGTTTTCCCAGTCTTTCAACTTTGTTTCTCTTCGATTTCTTTCATGTCACCGATAAAGTTATTAAAAAGCTAGACATCTTTCCTCTATAAACGCCAGCCAATTCAACCCGCGAATCGTCTCGATTTCCTCTTGGTAAATCATTTGCAATTAGTTTCTTGGTTAAAAGATTTAGCAGTTTTGGAAGATCTCGACTCAGAATTTGGATTTTTTGAACGATAATGCGTTACTATCAACTACCCACCATGCACGGCATTGCGCTTGCTGTCTCAACTTCAGCACAGGCAGCTGGTTGGAATCCGATTGCCATGTACGATGTGTAGGCTGAATTGGCTCCAAGGTTGTTCGAGAAGAGCTCAACTTCCAAGAAAGAGGCTGACTAAAGCTTTGACATTTTGTTAAACAAATTCAATTTCTTCACTTACCGATCTTTTGAATGAGATTCCTTGTTGACAGGTTGATGGAGATGTGGTGATGCATCCATCGGGAATCGCCACACACGTTTTTCCTTGACCGCACGTCGTGGGGTCGAAAAGAGACGAAACCTGCGGATTTATTGATCTCAACGAGTCATTTGGCTTAGGTTTTTTAAAACTACAGCACTATGCTTTTAACTTTTAGCCAGAGAAGTTCACTTGCACTGTCACTCTTACAGCTAGAGTGCTTACAGTTTCCCCAAGCGCACCTTTTAGAGAACTGCCTAAGTCTCAATTTTTGAGCAATTTAACTGTATAGTATTATAATGGTATAGTAAGCCAAGTTCTTAGCTCAATTGAAACTTCAGAAAGTGAAAGTGTGAAGAAAGTGATTTCCTTTAACAAACACCACTCACCTGTCCAAGCAACACGAAGCAAGCCACCAATTTCAACATTTTCAATCAAAATCTATTTGGTTTAATCGAGGATTCCCTAAAAAAATTGAAATTTTTAGGCTTATCACAAAATTTTCCCTATATTTTCCCTTTTATTTGAATGGGCAACAGTGAGATAAACAAAGGAATTCGGAGAGGAGAAAGAAGGGGAAGAAAGAAGGGGAAGAAGGGGAGAAAGAATGGCTATTTTCCCAAAGAAATGAGTGACAACGAAACGATCTATGCGCTCGCTTTTTTGAAAGTTCAAAAGACGAAGAAATCAATAGAATAGAAATTATAATTTAAACGCAAAGAAAAAAAACGAAATGCAGAGCAACAGAGAAGCATGAGGAGAAAGAAAAGTTTCACTCACTCACAAGTGAACGGTTGATGGTTTAAAATCAAGTAACATCTTAAAAATACATTTATTCACACGAATAATGTGATAGAAACGATAAACAAGCACAAATCCTAAGCCCTAAATGTAGGGAAGAAAAAAAAAGCCCCATTTACAGTAAAAGCTCGATAAAAGAATGCCTAATAATGCTTAGGAAATGCTCAAAAAACAGTAAAAATGTAGAAAAATGTGCTCTTTGGTACTACCAATGTTTTCATTTACATAAATAAGATTAATTTTATTCAAAAAACAACATGTAAAGCATTAGAAAATCGACAGCAAACTAGCTAAAAAATTGAGAAATCTTAGTTTTTCGCTTCTTTCATTGATTACTCCTGGAAAAATTCCTCGATGTTGTGGCACGCATTAATCACCGTTGAATCATTAACAACATTGAGTAAAAAGCGTTGAAAGTGGCAAAGACCTTATAAGCTTCTTTTCGGGCTTCTTTTCGTGTCACTTCCGGCTCAAAATGATTATCTTCTTCATCAGTTAAATCCTTATCAACTTCCATAGGTCGATCAAACAATTACGAAATTTCGCTGTCGTTCGGATTCTAGTTCTAGTTCTAGATCGATAAGATCTTTATCGATATCAAGAAAATCGACAAGACATGAATCTCAATCAACTCCTCCATTTAGCTCAAGCTGATTCCACTGATTCCACTCCAGCTGATGCCACTGACTCCACTCCAGCTGATGCCACTGACTCCACTCCAGCTGATGCCACTGACTCCACTCCAGCTGATGCCACTGACTCCACTCCAGCTGATGCCACTGACTCCACTCCAGCTGATGCCACTGACTCCACTCCAGCTGATGCCACTG